AATCCCAGAGAGGATTTTTTTCACAAAACAATTTCAACAGACAGGATATGAGGAAATCCACACAGAGGAAATTAGTAATGGCCAGGAGAAAAGAAAATGTTCATAAAAATATTCCACAGATTCCTTAGCCCTTAATGCAATCCTGTGAATTAGGACAAGACAATTGGGGACCTGCAAGAAACATGCAGGAGCATCTGTCCCATCTCTGATTCTTCCACTCTCTCACACTCTTCCTACTTCTCTCGAACTTTCTCCTTCCTGCCACCCCTTTTCTTACGTACACTCTCTCTCCATGCCTGTCACTTCCTTTCTGCCACCACCTATCACTCTTTCTGCCCCACCACTCTCCCAGCGTCCCACCTTTTTCCTCCCCCCCTCCACAGCAGCGGCAGCAGCTGCTCTCCAGGAATCACAACGGATTGCCCAAATGCAGAGATCAGTTCCTCTTAGGGTTGCCAGCTCCATGTTGGGAAATTCCTGGAGCCTTGGGAGGATGAGGTTTAAGCTTGGAAGTGACCTCAGCAGGGTATCGTACCACAAACTCCACCCTTCAAAGCAGCCATTTTCTCCAGGGGAATTGATCTCTGTAATCTGGACTTCCAGATCTCCAGCCTTCACCTGGAGGTTGGCAACATTAGTTCCCCTGGAGGAAATGACTGCTTTGAGGGGTGGAGTCTATGGCATTAGATCTGTCAGGCTTCATCCCTCAAATATCCAAGAATTTCCCAACATGGAGTTGGCATCCCTATCTCCTTCCCACCCAATAGCCAAACCTACCTTTATCTGCCCCCGTCTTCAGCGTTCCATATCTCCTTTCCCCCTGCAGCTTCTACTGAGGACAACTGTGGTCTTTCTCCACAGTGGGGACTAAAGCAGTCTACATTATTCTCTCCTTCTTTTTATCGACACAACAACCCTATGAGGTTGGTCAGGCTGAAAGTATGTGACTGGTCCAAGATCACCCAGTGAGCTTCTACAGCAAGATGGGGATCTAAACCTGGGCCTCGCAAACTGTACTCTGAAGCTCTTACCATTATACTACACTACCTTTCATAGGGTGGCTGCTGTTGAACAGTAGCAAGCAGCCAGGCCTAGTTGAATCATGCAAATCAGGTGGTTTCAAGTCACCCAGAGGGTGTTGCTAGGCCTAGGCTTGTCAGTCTCCAGGTGGGACCTGGAGATCCTCCAGAATTACAACTGAACCCCAGACAACAGAGATCTGTCCCCCTGGAGAAAATGGGTGGACTCTCCGGCATTATATCCAGCTGAGGCCTCTCTGCTCCCAAACTCTGCACTCCTTAGCACTCCTCAGTCTTCAATAGAATCTTCAGAAATTTCCCAACCTGGAGCAGGCAGTTCTGGTCCCAGGCTGGGCTCCAAACTCCCTGCTTATTTAACCATTCATACTGCAGGAGGAATCTTCCCAAATCCAAGTTCCAGTTCTTCTTTTTGCTTCCTCCCCTCTCTGGCTATCAGCCAGTATCTTTCACTGTCACCATTGTGGGGCCTGGAGGGCATCCCTGCGGCAGTCATTTCAAAAGGTATTTGGGGGGGGGGGGGATTCAACCCTCCCCGAGGTTGGGTTTTTTGTTTTTTGTTTTACTTTTTGGATTTTTCTGCAACTTTCTGGATTTTTCTGCAGTTCCACAGAGTCCGCTGAGTCTGGGGAGAGTAAACCACCTATCTGCAAAAATAAATATCCACACGCAGAGGGAACTGTTGAAAATTAGATAGATTATTCCTTCCCTAACCTTGTATCCATAAGGAACATAAAAGACACTATGAAGAAAAGGATGTGAAAAAAGCTGGTAAACCTTCCTATCAGGCAGTGCAAATTTAACTGCTGCACATGGAATATTGTGTGCAGTTCTGGAGGCCTCGCTTTAAAAGGGATGTGGACAGAATGGAGCAGGTGCAGAGGAGAGTGATGAGGATGATTGAGGGCCTGGAGACCAAGTCCTACGAGGAAAGGCTGAGGGACTTGGGAATGTCTTATCTGGAGAAGAGGAAGTTGAGGGGGAACATGATTGCTCTCTTTAAGTATTTGAAGGGCTGTCAGAGGAGGTCAGGGAGCTGTTCCTGTTGGTGGCAGAGGATAGGACTCACAATAATGGGTTTAAATTAAGGGCGGGAAGGAAAAACTTTTTTTCTATAAGAGTTGTGAAACAATGGAATCACCTGCCTGGGGAGGTGGTGAGCTCCCCCTCGCTGGTGGTCTTTAAGCAGCTGCTGGACAAACACTTGTCAGGGATGCTCTAGGCTGATCCCGCATTGAGCGGGGGTGGGTGGGTGGGTGGGTTTGGACTGGATGGCTCCTTCCAAGTCTGTGATTCTTTGAAATACAACCCAGTACTGCAGTCTGCTAAAAGGCCATCCTTGACAGTAATACAAGTCTCTGCTGGTGTTTATCACATTTCTAACTTCATTGGGGTTCACTTTTCCCAAATGTGTGTTGTATTTATTTCAGATCACTAATTCAATATTTTGTGGATACAAAGCAAATTGACAAAAAACACATTTACTCCATTGTGGCAGGAAAAAAAGGAGCTGGCAAACGTCCCCTACCCTTGGTGCAACTGAGTTTACCCAAAAGCTGGAGATACTTGACTGCTGTCTGGATTGCAATAGTGCCTCCCAATTAAAAAGAGATAGTAGCTATAATTACAGGCCTAATTTTATTATTACAGAGTTTTTAAATATTGTTGACTTAAATTGGAGAGATCAGAACCATGTGTAATTTAGGTATACTTGAAAGCTGACTCCTTAGGTTGATACATGTTGGTCTAAAGGATCAGGGGGACTTCTAACCTTTTTTAAAAAAACCCTGCAAGCACCTTTAGAAAGAAGGTATATACTATTGTGCTTATTGGATTAGACATACTGCATAATGTGTTGGTTATTCCCAAGAGTAAACTGAATGTGCATGACTATGCAGTTGTTATATAATGTTCCTTCAAAATCAAAGAGGTTGTTGAATGATATGTTGTTCATAAAATGATGAAACATGGTGGTGATAATTATTACAGGTTTAAATGATCAGTCTATCAGTGAACCGCCAGCAGTATATTTCTCCTTGTTAAAATGGTTTGTTGCTGAAGGGCAATGCTGTGGAATGCAGTTGACTGTTTCTTACATCTGCTTGTCCGTTATCATCTAACTCCTTTGGAGCAGTCACTGTGACCTTTGGTATGTGAAACAGTGTGTTCTGAAGGGAGAAAAAGGATCTCTTTAGCTGCCTCGCAATTTCTTAGCCCTTGAGGCTAGTCCAGGCACTTTGAACTAACAAATGTTTTGCAATTGTGCTGTGATGTCACTTGCATTAATTTAGAATAATTCATTTTTGCACAGAAGGCTTTATGTGTTGTGATTTCTGCTTATTTATCTGCTGCTGTCACTTAGGTCCCCCTCTCCCTTCAGCTGCATCTTCCTCAAACCCAACCCTACTGCTTGCGAGAACATATATGGAATCATTCTCCATATTGGAAAATGCTCCTCTTTAAGGCAGTAACAGAAAATCAAAAGAATAATGTGTTTCGCAGTTGGCTCTTGTGTGAAGAATGAGCCTCACCTCATGAATAGAACTGTTTCTAAAAACTGGAAACTTTTCCTTATGGGGCTGACAAGTGCAGCTGCTATTAAGAAATGGTACTAAGAATGCATCACTGACTTCATTCTTGTGTGGAATCAGGCTTTCTGTGAACTTGGCAAACTACTAGCTAGTTTTAGGTATACCACACAATGACACATCTTTTTCCTAAACATAACCGATATTTCACTTTAATTAAATAAGCCTGGATAGGTTCCTTTTTTAGTTGTTGAAATGAGGCAAGACGGTCTTAGCCCTATAGTTCAGTCATATTTGATACAGGTCTGCTTATTTCTGTTCACTTTTCTTGAATGCTGAAACTTTTTTCACTTACAAATTGCAGCATCTTACAGGCATATGAACTACACCCGTGCCTCATACTTTCAGTCTCTGCATTCTTCTGTCCATTATAAGCCTAAAATGCTGAACTGAGTTTGACTAAGAAGGCAAAATGTAGAGGAGATACAGTGGGAACAGAAGGGATAAGTGGCTTCTTTGGTCTTACTGACCTACAGCCCTGAGGCCCTGCTTATCAGGGTTACTGTTGTGGCTGCTGTTCAGATGCTTCCTTTTTCACTGCTCTGCTTGATGTAAAAAAGGCAAAATTATTCACTGTTTTACCTTTGCAACTGGTATACCAAGAAGACAGCTCCTATTTCTCATACGATTCTCTGATTTCTTGTGGTTTTTATAACCA